ATTTTGCTGCGTCGGTACAAAACAACAGCAATGCACGCCAGTCTTATTCATTGCAGTAAAAACAAATGTAAATGAGCTTTTAGCTTCTGAAAACCCCTGCTAGGTGTGTTTACCAAGATAAAGGTAGAATGTGAATACTTCATATGTGTAGGAGCGGACTTCTTTCAATGAAGTCTAGTTTGAAGTTAAAGGTAAACACAACAAAACTTTTTTTTTTGGACGTTCTGAGGAACAGCAGATTGTTAGCAATCATCTGGACCTTCCTTACAGTTCTAGTGAAGGCTATTTATGGGCACTATGGAAATCCGTACCTTGCCCAAGCAAGTTAGACCCCAAAAGTCCAGTTATTGTTGACTAATATGGGTGCTCCATATTGACTTCCTTGGCCCTGGCATTGTTGGAGGGGGTCGGTTTCAGCATAGTACAGTAGCTCATGCATGAGCACAAGCACTGGTACACAACATAGACATGTACTATGGCCTAATCTATGCGACTGTAAAGGGTCGAAGTTGGTTCGATGCAGGGTCCAGTGTTCACTCAAAATTTGGGCAGACGCAAATATTCAGAGTCAGCTGGATAAAACCCACAAGAACTGGGAGGTCTTTGGGGATAATCTGCCTCCATTTAGTATTACGGCGTGATGACATAAGTACAAGAGGTAACTGTGCTCTGGCCTGGTTGGGCCCAGATCAATGTTTCCCCTTTTCCACCAAGGTGGTTCTAGGGTGAGTGCCTAATCTGCAATCAGTTCTTTGTGTTTCGACCACCAAAGTTTTATAAAAGTCTGTTTTAAGCTTCTTTCATACTCAGTGTTCGATTTGAAAATGTCATTGTGAATGACTTCTACACTAGAAAGGACTAGTAAGTCTATCAGCAGTAGAAGATCTGTTTGGCATACCAGCCTTTAAAGAATGATATGAAGATCCATGAAATATTTGACCAGACTTTGAAATTTGACTGTGAATTTCATCATGATGTTTTAAATTCAAAGTGAACATGAGATAGATCAAAGGCAATACATATAACCAAGTCAGATACTCTTTGGAACACAAAATACTGTGTGATTATTTCTTTTTGCTTAAGAAGGGGAATATTGATTAGACAAAATATCTGTCCCGTGATTTCGTTAGGCTTCAACTTTAACTTTAATTGTATTGTCCCTGAGGAAATATGATGTTTTGCTGTCAGGTTAAACAGAAGATGTATTGAAAATGAACTGCATTCCATGTTATACTAACCAGAATGAATTCCCAACAAATGAGAACACTTGTTTGCATAGCTTAAAACCTTGGATTTATCTGAGGGTTTTGTCAAGTACTGAGGAACACAGATGGGTTGATGCAGTCATTGTGAGAGCACTTCTGAAACTCGTAGAAATCATGCCAATGGACAAAATGTTTCTCTTGAGTGTAACAACATAAGATGCTTATTCAACCCAGTAACTGTTTGCGCCCATTGATATCAAATGTAATTGCCTTGTATGCTCAGTTGATGGCATTGGTTGAAGGACACAGCATTAAGAAAGGACATGATCTTACAGTTGCACAATGGGCCTTTCAATGGACACCCAAAGTGCTTATTAATGTAGAAATGCTTTCTCATTTGGTTGTCTTTATGTGAAAGCAGGACAATGGGATGGAGAAGGACGTTGGGGCGAGAAATTGTGTAACTAGGAACTTTTTGTTCCGAGTACCTGCCTTTCTGTAAAGAATGAAGGAAGGTCAGTTGCTGAACACTCATCTCTATTGGTCTGTAGTGCTGTGGCCTTGGGCTCATTTCTCTTACTGACTGGACGTTGCATTATTGTGTTCATTATGTTGGACCTTCTTTCAGGTAGCATCCTCTCTCCATTTTTTATTTGTGCTCTTTCAGATGTGCGTCTTCCTTTGTTATCAGAGGTGAAATTTACTCATATTAAAGGGGCTTTACATGTATAAATCGTTTTTTATCTCCCATTGAACGGTTAACTGATGTGAAAAAGTAGATGTTCACTGTCTATCTGTGTTGCCTGTATAAAAAGTTTCCCCGGGTCGTATTTTCTGCGAAAGCTCCGGGAAGTGACATTTTTGCAAACTAGAAAGATAATGGGTATTTTAACTTTCCAGTTTACCACAACTTGTAGTATTTCTGTCGGTTATGACAGCATTCAACATATTTAAGCCATACTGACATTTTCTATGGAGCCCTGGAGTTGACTTGGATTTCTTTCTTGAACATCTTTAGTTAAAGAAACGTATTTAGAGCCTTGTTGCTGTGACATCAAGCTCAGGGTGGGAACTGTAAATATTAATGGAGGATGTCTGGGTGATGTCACCCATCTGTTAATGCAGGAGGCTTTGGAGTCCCATCAACGGCTGTCTCCATGCTGGAAATGCTGTCTCAACCTAACTTTCAGTCAATGGGTGAATGGGTGAGTATGTGTCTTCCGGTGCTTCAGCAGTCAGCCTCAAGTGGACACTTGCCCTAAGGGCGTAGTCACACTGGCCATCCGTACCGTGCCCAAGCACGCTTCAACGCTAAAGTCCAGTTCGTTTGACCAGTGTGACCGCTCCGTATCGTGCTCAGGCACGGTACACTTCCTTGGCTTTGGCACACTTCGGAGAGGTGTGCTTCCTTATGTGTTGTTCTCCGATGTGCGGCCGCGGACTTGTCTGTGGACTCGGCCGCGCGTCTATTTTATTTTTAAATGTATTTATTGCTGTGTCTGATTAAAATGGCTTAGCGGGGGACGCAATCGTGCTTGGGTACAGCACGGTACAGATGACCAGTGTGACCGCGCTCTTAATGAACTGCAGGATTTTGCACTTGTTGCCCTGTCTTACTGTAATGCTCCAGATTTGAATCATTTTAACCTTAAACATCTGCACAACTGTTTCCATGGGGGGGGGAGACAGCTCCCTCCAATGTTTAGAATTTGGACTGCAGTTCCAAATTCACACGCTGCTTTGAGCCCTATCCTCTCAAATGCTGACAATTTTCAAGTTTCAGTCTTCTTTCCTAGGATCTCAGACATTAAACCAGCTGCTGTCATTACCCGCTGTAGCTAAGCTATTTAACAATATCTTTATGCTGTATGTTCCTTCAAACTTTACTAAAGTAACTGATTCTGGCTTTAAAAGGAAACTTTGACCACGTCAGGTATAACAACGCTTCTGTGAATTCTACATGATTGCTTTTGTTTTTTATCAGCACCTAAAGGCGGCAGTACTGAGATACACAGTGCATTGTAGGTCTGTCCTCTGTGTGTCAGGAATGGGAAGGCCACTCGAATTCAGAAAGGGGAACACTCAGAAGGCAGCAAAATAGTGGCAGCCCCTGATAATGCACAACAGATCTATGTAAGAATGTGAGTTCAAGTTACTGGGATCTAATGATAGGTAGTTTGCTATACCCCTCATACCTGTTAAATAATGTTTTGGTGGCCTATATTCCAGGCAAAGCTGTACCTTTTTGTTCTCTCCAACAATTGAAGGCTTTTGAAAGCACCATTTGAAAAAACCTCTCTTTGGAAAATCAAACATAATCTGCTAAAAACATCAAGCTCACATTTCAAGACTTTTTTTTTTACATGCATGACATGTTGGTACAAATGCAAATAAATAGATAAGCTAACAAATAAATGCAATGCTGCAACTTTTTGGAATTATGCAGAGGTTAATCAGTGTTCATCGTTAATCCGAGGTACATTTCAGCGGATACAGTTCCTTGACTGAGCAAAGACAAAAGGACACATGGGTTCAGGTTTCTTCCAACTGTCAGGACGTCTCAGTAGGTGTCTGTCAGAGGTTTAACGCCACAGGTTAAGAGACACAGACTGATGGATGATGGATATCCACTAGAGAAGACACTAGCCAAAGAATGCCTGACACTTGGTCAAAGACAAGCTGAACATGAAGCTGGAGGCCATGGTCCAAAAGACTTGCTTCAAGGAACAAGAAATCAACATGGAAGAAGGGAATGATATGAACTTTCTGTAAAACAAGGGTAAACTTCTGTCTATTTCTTTTTTATATATATATAAAAATGTATTTGCTGAAATTACTAAATTATGGGTATGTCATTGAAGTACTTTCAGTGCAGTTAGATCCAGTGAATGAAGGAAATCCGTCACATTAAATTTGAAAATTAGTCTCTGGCTGTGATACATGTGTGGTGGACCAAATCTGTGATGTCAAAGGTGTTCTGTGTATTTTCATCACAGGTCGTCGCAGGACCTCATGATCCTGGGAGAACGTACAGTTTTGTTTGACCGATCATTCCGCTCTGATCATCACCTCAATTTTGACTTTCTTTGAACTGTTGAGTCATTTTCTTCCTCGTCACTGAGCATGGGTTATCTGAGGGTCTAATTATGCCACAGATGGGTTTTAAGTACTAATTAGTGTGGTTCAAATCTTGTATACCTTGGTCATCTGTAAGAAGCACTGAGAGCTGAGAACAAACGTTGGTTTGTAATTAAACCTGTATCTTTTCCATCCATTGCATGCTGTGACCAACACCCCTATTTGATACTGGCCATGCCATTTCAGCACCATGGACAGATTCAGACTGAAGGTACCTCAAGTATCATTTTCCAAATTCATCATCAAAAGTTTGCATACTCTGCTCTTTTAATCATTTCTATTATTTTCCATCAGGCTTAGAAAGTGATATGTGTTTGATTATAAATGTTCTTTGGACTGACCTCAGCCGTAACGCCAAAATGTTGTAGCCTGTAGATTGACAAGAATAGACACAGGTATCAAATCAACCAGAAAGTACACCAACTACAAGAACTCCATTATCATTGGGTAGCCAAAGTAAAGCAATGCCTCCTGGCCACACATGAAATAGTGTTTTACATGATGTGACGCACACTGGTATTCAGCCAGACAAGGTGGTGATGAAGCAGAGGCCCTCCTGGTTACAATACGTCTCCTTAAAAACAAAAATCCCTCAGCGCAGCTCCAGCTTCAAGCTGATGTGCTATAGGGAGCGGGGGTCATCGGTTCATCCGTCAGAGAGGCTCCTCGCTGATGGATGGCACTGAGAGCAACGCGCGCCCAATCCGCTCCAGCCCTAACCGCGAGAAAGGGCCTTCGCAGGCAGGGAAATAAATAAATAAACAGCAACATCAAAGGGATGTTCAAAAGAAAAACAAAGCCTGCACACGTTCGTTTGCAAACACACACACAAGCGCACATCGGCTCTCTCGCACACATCCGGCGAGAGAGAGAAAGGGGAGGCGGAGGGAAAAATACAAAGGACTGAAAGCATACACATAGTTTACTCTCCGATGACACTCAGCTTGAAGAAAATCTAGACAAAACAAGGCAGAGTGGCAAAAATTGGAGTGTTTGATGGTTTGATATTCTCGCTGAAAAGACTCAAAAATAAAGATCAGGCCAAAACTGTATACAGTTTCAGATTTTCTTTTAAAAACAACAAACACCCAAAATGGTCTTATCCTCAGATTCCGTATTGGGGAGAGGGCTACCTCTGTCAACAGGACACTTTGTGCACAGTGACCATCCATACAACACATCTATATGAAGTACACCAAACAGAATAATCCTCAGCTAAACTGCTGCTAAACTTGCAAAAATAAGTCGAAGAAACTATATCATTTTTTTACACCTGCAAAAAATGCAATGCATCTCTTACTGTGTTGCCAACAACGCAACATCTCTGTGCTCATCTTCTTGCACATATTTTATTTAGCTTATAAGCACATTCAGCAGAAAATGGCTCCTTGCTATACCGATGAGCCCCATTGCTAAGAATGTCTCACGCACTTGATAAAGTGAATATTAGCGTCTTAAGAAATGTGGTGGTAACTATTGCCCACTTATCTTGTGTTACGGCGAGATTATCAAATGAACACACCGGAAGTGCAGGCTGAAATATCATAATACCAGACCTACCTGTGAGCGGATATGTTGAATATTTTCCATTTTTCTTCCCACAAAAAAACACCTTAACCAACAATAAAAGAATCCTGCAAACAAGTGATCTTCGTGTTTTAGTTGTTTTGGGGGTATTTTTCCTTCACTAGACAGGACGGCTGAAGAGATACAGGAAAGTCCGGGAGGACAGAGCAGGGGGACATCATGCAGTAACGGGCCGAGGTCAGCTTCGAACCCACGGCCGCTGGGACAAGAACTACAGCCTCCGTACATGGGGCGTGCGCCATGACCAATAGGCTGAATAAATAAATACAAACTAATGGGACTAAGAGCTACATATTGTAGAAAGTATTCAGAATGGACTAACACGCTGTTTCTTTTGGCCCTTGTATAAATTACACATAAAAACATTTCCATTGTTCTCGCCAGTAAAGTCTGCCATGTGGTTGAAACCAGTGGGGATCAAGCTACAAACCATGTCTATGTTAGTACCATCGTCTACCCGAACACTCACACAAAATCAAACAAATGTAAGAGCACCTTTTGTTCGAGTGCCTTTAATAATTTACTGGAGCATGTGACCAGTTAGTTTTCCCTTCATGTGTTTCTGGACAGATAATCCTCTGCTGGGATTGTAAAGGAGGACCATAAGGGCAAAATGAAGAGAAAGACGAGCCTATGTGAGGTAACTTCATGCAATCTTAAAAAAATAAAAAGTTCCGACTAAATAACTTTTTACCTGTTTGAATCCCACAGGATCCAATCAAAAAAAAGTGCCTGTGCGTAATTGTGCAAGCTGAAGAATATTTTGAGTTAGTGAGAAACCTTCTTTGTATCTTCTTTGCATTAAATGAAAAACTTTCGTCATCTACATCTAACGGCAGTTATCTCGCATTCACTGTGTTCTTCTTTGTTTCATTTATCTGATTCCTGTGAACTGCAGCTAAATGTTATTGTTTTCATGATCGTTGTTATCGGCAAGCAGGAACCTCTGCAGACTGCGAGAGCTTTGGTTGGTTGGGGAGTCTTGCTTGCATGGCCTTGAGTTAGTCAGCATGGGCTCATCCCATGAAATATTGAGGAAGCTGAAGCTGGAAGGGCTGGGCTGGGGCCTCATGTTGGGGTGTGAATGTGTGTGTGTGTGTGTGTGTGTGTGTGTGTTTGTGTGTGCATGGTGGGGTTTGCCTGACGGTGGAAACTGTTGATGTTGTGTCAGCTCCCCGAAACCAAAACAAACTCCTTAGCCCCCCAGTGTACTCCTAAAATCAGAAAAGTGGATTGCAATATACCTTCCATTGAAAATATACCATTCTCTCTCTTGTTTGCTCACTCAGCTCTCTCCTTCTTTCTGTTTTGCACACACACACACACACACACACACACACACACACACACACACAAGCGAGGCTAGGTTTAATCTCATCCTTATTCCCTTACCCTTAATCTTTGTTTCTTTGCATCTCCATTTCCCCATGCAAATCAGCTCCTCTCATCTTTCTTCTTTTTGCTCCCTCTCTTTCTCTCTGTTTTGCGAGTGTGTGTGTGTGTGTGTGTGTGTGTGTGTGTGTGTGTGTGTGTGTGTGTGTGTGTGTGTGTGTGTGTGTGTGTGTGTGTGTGTGTGTGTGTGTGTGTGTGTGTGTGTGTGTGTGTGTGTGTGTGTGTCTAGTCAGTCAGAGAGCTGAGCTACAGTACAGACAGTTTAGTACAGTTGAAAGAGCACATCAGACTTCTGCCCTGCTCTCTCTAAGGGCTGATAATATGGGCCCTTCTTACCTGTTAGGAGCTAGTGAGCCGCTTTCTCCTCCCTTTAAATGAACTTCAGAGGGGAGTCAGATTGACAGGAACACAGAGAGGGCTGCCCCGTTTGACTGGCGGTCCTGTCAAGGTGAACCCCAAGGTGCTCTTCGGGGCCCGGGCTGCTTTCCACAAGGCTGCCCTGCTGAGCTGATTGGCTCTTAATGGTACAGTAATGACCAAAACAAACCCTCTCGCACACAAATCCTTACCATTGTCTCATGGTACGGTGTGTTATCTCAAAAAAGATTCTAGAAACTCAAAGGTCTCAACTAGCTAATTTAGCAATTTAACATCAGTTGAGCCTCTCTATTAATCTTTGTTTCAAAGTCTGTGAGAAAATATGAGGCTGAGTTTAGCCATTGTTTGAGAAACCATTAAGAGTGCGTGGTCTGGTTTTCCTCCCCTGACAGATTCTGCATAATAATAAAGGCGAGGGGAAGCCTCTCTTAAAGCCTCAGCACCTTAATAGCCTGTATGATGACACTTTATCTATAGTTTGTGCATATAATCACCAAACTAAAGGGGGCGACCCCAGGGCGTGGGTTCACCCGTTGACATTTGACATCTTTATAATTAACTGGGAAGGTCTAATCTCTGCCTTCAAATGACGCATGGCCACATTCCATTTAATATGCTTATAAGCACTATGTATTATTCAAATATGCAGATGAGGCTCCGTTAGAAAACAGACTTTTGACACAGGTTTTTCTCTCACGTCGTGGTGGGCTATGGGGGCCGCTAATGGACCTGCAGGGATCGAAGAGCAACAGCCCCTCTGAAATTTTCATTCCTTGAGAAAGACGACAAAGTTTTCTTCATTAACGTCTTTGCCTTTACGCTCCACTATAAAACCTAACAGTATTCTGTCAAAACAAGAGAGTTAACTCCATTTCAGAGAATACGATCATAACTCTTCTAAATGGTTTAAGATTAACTAAAAAAAATTGTGCTTAGTGATTCATTTTCAGTGTTACTAAATTTTGCAACACAATGATTTGTAGTATTTTTTACCAATTATTTCAATGCTTCAATTTAGGTAAAAGGCACTTTGACAACTGTATTAAAATCTGATTATTTCTGCTGCAAAAGCCAAAGTGCACATTTATCATGTCCTCATTAGTTAATATGAAACATCTCTAGGGCAGAGACAGCTTGTGTGGATTTTTTGTTTTTAAAGAGTTTTAATAGTTTTGGTCGGAGATGTTTGGAAGAGTTGGCCATCTTTAGACTGAGTGAACCAGGAGAGCTTTTTATGGATGCAAGCTCTAACAGGGCTGGAAGAAAGAAACTCTTATGTTCACTTTTGGCTTGAGTTACTTTTGAGAGGCTGGTGGTCGCTGGGTCAGAGGCTTCAGTGAGCCGGTAACCACTACACGAAGCCCTCAGTCCTCACTGGAGCTTTGCAGCAGCAGCAGCAGAGTCTCTCCACATTCACATCCTTATATCCTCTCACCTTAGGGAAGGAGTGAAGTCAGACTTATTAGAGCTGTGGGTGAAATGCTCTTCATTATTTCTTCTTGGCAGTTTCTTTCAATCCATATTCATGAATCATCAGTAAATTAGAAAATCAATATCACACTACTAATTATGTTTTGGTGGGGTTATACGGTCATATTATTTTGAAATCATTTATGCAACTACACCCATGTTTGCTGAATAAGAAAAAAACATCATAAAACTATTGTAATGAATCGTTTTTGATATAAGATCATTGGAAAGAGGAAATTCTTTAGATCTTTAAAGCACTTCATATATCATTTTGAACTTCACTCTACTGTGAAAAACAATATCTTAATGTGTTGAGTCACAGAAAATCTAAAAGACACTTTTAAACAAGCAACACTTTAGTTAAAAACAACTTTTTCAATAATAACGTCACCTCTGTACATTTGTCCGCTCTAGCTACAGACCAACATCTGTAAGAAATTCTGTTTCTGTATCTCGCTGGTATTTACTGTTATTTGAACCTGATTATTTTTTTTTACTTCATTAATTTCCCTAATATACTTTGAATCTGTTTCTGATCTTCTAGACTTCAAACTATACTTTTCTGTCAAGAGTGAGAGAGTCTGTTCTAATTTTTGAAGTCAGTGTAAATCACACCTTCCCTGCACTCTTAAATGTTCTCATTTTCTTCCACTCCTTGACGGAAGCTGGAAAAAAACCCATAAGAAAACATATAAACCAAAAAAAACAGAAACAAATAGCTGTGCTATTTACCCTCTGTTTTCAGGTTAATCCCCAGTTTGCTTTTCAGCTGTTGCAGGCATGATATCGAACGGCATCAAATCACTTTTTTTTGTTCCTTAAAGGTTGTAAACATTTGTAAATGAGTGCTTGCATGTGTTGAAGGCATATTAGGTTTTCTTCCTGATGTCCATTGGGGTTTATTGAGTGTGCTGTTGCTGATCCTGGGCCATGAATCCTTCCCTGCCCTCTCCTCCGCCTGGAGCCTGCCCCCAGCCTCTCCTCCACCTCCCACTGAGCTCCCTCTGTCTCAGGCTACCTCTCCAGCTCCTGTCTCATGTCCCTTTTAACTAAACTCTGGGCTTTTTATGTGCTCTATTCAAGCCTTTGTTGTCCAACCTTCTCGTATTTCTATATCTCTTTATGGGGCTTATTTGGTTGTCCTTTCACTTTGGCTTCACTTTATTGTTTCTTGAGGTGTGCGTCCTTCACAACTTTCACAGGTGTTTTAACCTTTCCTCTCCTGGTTAAACAGGTAGCTTTACCTCTTCCAATAAATAAAAAAGTCAACCTGCAACTAATTAAATGAACCTGCAACTATTATTGTGGCTTGGCGTGTAGAAATTGGTATGCAGTGTTTTTTTTTTTTTTTTACAAATCTTGATTCAGGAAGTGCTTGCGTTTATCATGAAAGCAAAGAATGGAAGATGCTGCTTTTTCTCATATATTAGGCCTATTTCTCCTCAGGGAAGCCTGCCCTAGTCTATTGGTTTCACTGATAGGCTACATACTGATTTATATTCATTTTATGTATGTAGCCTAATATGGCCGTTACAATGAAAATGTTACTCCGATTCTCTACTGTACTCCTTACAATACTACTGTGATTCTATACTGTAGGGAATAACAATAATCTAACCTAAGTGGCTGTAAAATAGAGCATTTCGGTGAAAATCCCACTGTTATAAACATAGCCTACATTTCTTAAGAGCCGCAGCTACCCTTCAAGATGGCGGCCATGTTGGCATGTTGCTCCTGTGAACAGCAGCCCAGGCAACATCTACATGGGTAAAGATAGCTAACCTAATTTAGCTAAATTATAGGTTAAGCTATACATTACTTCGCTTTTATGCTAGCTATAGTTTAGCTAGGTAAGCTAGTTGGTAACAAGATGGTGATTGGCATTGAGCTAGTTTAGTAACATCTGTTGCTAGCTTAGGTAGCTTGTGACAGGATTTAAAGGGTCCCATATTATGCTTTTTCTAGTTTTATATGCCCTTTAGTGTGTTTTCCAAGTGTCCTGTGCATGTTTAGGTACATCTATGTGCAGAAATTCAAAGTCCGCAGAAACGCGGCTTCTCCTACGTCCTCCTGTTAGCTGTAGCATTAGCGGCATGTAACGCTCGGTTCTAGCCCCCCTCGATAAAAATTTGTCAGTGCGGCGTCATTGTCAGTGTGAGATCACTGATCTCAGCCCATTGGCTCATTGTGGCTCAGCTCGTGCTGAGCAACTGACCAATAACGACAGAGTGGATCGGCAGACTAATCAGAGCAGTGTGGGCTCAACAGAGTGTAGCTGACGGACTCAGAGCGTAGAGGGAGCAAGGAGGAGCAGTACATGAAAACAGAACTTTAGCTATTGTGAACGTACAAAAGTAGGTACATAGATTAAATATATATGAACCCCAAAAAGGGCATAATACGGGCTCTTTAATGAGTTAAGAATAACTTTTAGCTAACATTACTAGCTAGCTGAGTTGTGCTGTTTGAAGTGCTCAAACCAGTTGTTCACCAGACTAACAGGCATGAGAGCGGTATCTTAAAAGCTGTGTAGTACTGCTCTAAATATCACGCTTCTATGTAGCCTATGTAAGTAAAACGCTTCATTAACATCATGGAAGTGCAAAATAATTTTATTTCCATGGTGTCTGTATTCATCTAGTTTATTTTTATATTAACACATTGGTTATGAATAATCTTTCCTTCATAATAAGGTAGCCTATTTGTAATATCACTGAATGTCATTACAAAAGCCATGCAAAAGTCAATGTGCTGTAAAAGATGTGTGGGATAACAACATTTTGTGAATCTGTTACGAGTTCATGTCCACCAACAAGTCCTCTGTGCAAATTTGAAAGGCAGCAGTTTTGTTGGCAGCCATATTTGCTGAGTGATTTATCATTTTCTCACATCCACCTGTTGTTTTTCATGGGGCCTAATTAGAAGCTTACTGTGTGTGTCATAAAGTATGTCACTCACAGAAACGGTGGGGCACTTGTGTAGAATTCGATTTACCCAAAATAAACGAGGTAAGAAATATTTCCTGTCAGCTGTGTGAGGTGTTAGCAGCAGACAGCTTCGGCTATTTTGGCATCTTAGGACTCCACACTTTGGTGTTTTTTGGAGATCATTGTTAAAGTTTTGTATCACTTTTTAAAATCCTGCATTTAATAAGCAAAATACTTCCCTCTTTTCTGGCACTTTTGCTCAACTGTCTTCCCTTTTTCACCCACTTTCTGACCCCTCTTTTTTTGCTTTATCACATCTCGTTTACTCTCCCTCTCTCATTCTCTCCGTTTCTAGGCCCTGCAGATTGTCACTGTTATTTACCAAATATAGTCTGACAAAGAATAAGTGGGATTTTTTGCTGATTGAAGATCAAAGTGGCAAAGTCTCCTCCTCAAAGCCCGCCCCTTCTATTAGCCGCCCTTAAGAACAGAGGAAAACATCAATTTCTCGCACATCAATGGCGGCTTCATAATCAATTGAAAACGACACTTGTATGGGGATGCAAATCTTATCTTTGTCTTATTAGAGCTTTTAGAAGATGCATGTCGGGATTTAATGTTATGAAATAAAAGGGGGTCGCTTTTTTAAAATCTAAAGATGCAGAGGCGTTAGTAATGGTCGAAATCAAAGCCCAGAGACTGTGGTAATTACTGGAGGAGTTTGCCTATCCTTATTAATATTGATCAAATATTACTGTGATCTGATCTCTGGGCTTGTGATGAATTTGGAAGGTGGTTAACGAGCACAAGGATGAACATGGCACTCGTTTTCCCACTGCAACCACCACAAGAGTCCATTTTCTCCTTGTTGGGATTTCGACCTAGAAAGGGAGAAAAAAGAGGAAAACGCATCAGTGTTTGAGCTAAAGTTGTAAAATACTTACAGATCGTTTTTCTCCATTTTGCTTCTGCCTTGAGTCATAATGCACACTCACATTTTTTTTTTTGGAGTGCTGGTAAAAGACAGTTGTGTTGAAGGGAATTCAAGGTTGCTTTTGCATTGACCTCATGATGATGCGCAGTGCTTTAAAATGGCCATAAATCACTCAATCTCCTCCCGGCGAGGGGGATCGCACAAAACACGCCGATTCATTTACTGACAATGCGGCGGATGATCACACAGTGTTAAAAGATCCTCATTTTGAAGTGTAAATAAGGCAGGCTCAAAAGTGTTGGCGGAGAGGGCACAGTTTCTGCACAATGTATTCCACTTCTTAGATATCTCCTCGTTCTAGTTAAGTGACTCTTAAGTGGCGACCAAAAGACATTATTCCATGCTGCGGAATAAGCATTTTGCATCTCATGCGGATCATAAAAGGTGAATCATTTGTGTTTATTTCATTAAAATTCATATATCAAAATCCTCCAGCTATGAACTCATAAACAAAAGAGTGAAGGCGCTTTGGAGCCACCCATGTGGAAAGCATTGATTGCTGCTCGCTTGAAGCCTTCAGGAGTCTATTGGACACAAAACTTGAGGGCAATTGATTTTTCTGCATTAATTTCTCAATTAGGATCCTTGAAGAGAACCATGAGGGCTGCAGCCAAAAAAACTCCAGTTGATGCTGAAGGGGTCTTAATGGTGAGTGTGTGTGATTTTGTGTGTGCGTGTGCAGTGTCTGTGTTCATGCTGTATCTCATACCTCTCTGTCTGATTATAAACGATTTTGGGATCAATCTTTTTTAGGTAAAGGAATACCTGAGAGGTAATCAATATTCCAAACAACTATGCCCTTAAACTTCATAAACCCACATCCCTCCTTTAGAGTCAAACAAAAGGCTGATGGACCTCAAAGAGCAGCTGTGAGCGTACAGTGTGAGTCATATTGACAACAAAAAGCATTTCAACAAAGAGAGAAATTACAAGAACTAAATGTGTTGTTTGGTGTTGCCCTCGTTGCTTTTCACCATCTGCTTTATTAATATTTCACTATGAAAAAGAATAACTCGAGAATTAATTTTATGATTAGGACCATATTGAATATTGACATTTTAAACCTGAAATATTGGCTTTTGAAAGTCGTTATAGGTTCAGGATTAAGGTACATGAAATTGAACAAGGAGAGCTTTTTATGGATGCGATTTGAAAATGTAAACAATTCTAAATAGATTGTTTGTTTGCAAAATAATCTTACATTTTGACCACTGTGCATCTGAAACATTATGTAGCTATATTTTAATCTTAAATACACAGCCTCTGAATAGGGAGAATGTAACCTCTTTTATTCCCACTCAGCACCCCAAAAATGGGTTCTAACAGTATTCAACCTTGTCAAACAGACTTTGATGCAGGACATAAGAAAGAGGGCAGGAGAGTGACCAAGTAAGAGGGCAGCCATGAGTCAAACTTAGACTGACTATTACTTTGTTGTCAATCAGTTAGTTTAACAAAATATCAATTCTTGCATGATGTAGCATTGAATCTTTGAACCTTCCTGCCTTCACCTCAACTAGTCTTTTTTTATATGATGCATCATTACAGATGAGATAAAATACTTCAAATTGTCCTTTTTTCAACGAATTACAACATAAAATTCAGCTTTAATTCAACAGTAATGGCAATCCAACACGTCAATGTGTTCATTTATCTAAATCTGTAAACGTAACCTCAATCGGTGTCTGGCTTGGATCATCCAAAAGGGCTTCCAAATCCCTCATTCCTTAAACAGACCCAGATGTTCCCGAAAGCGTCCAGGTTTGAGTTAAACACTGTCATCAATATGCTGCCATATCTGCACAAAAACATACATTTATTAAGATTCTATAGAGAGGCATCTATCTTGGTATGAGGTTTGAAATGGTATGAAATCTAAATGTCGTTACATTCCTGAACTTTGACTCTTCTTTATTCAAATATATATTTTCTATCCATTTTCATCTTCATAGTCTTTGACTCCTAACAAACTGAGTTTAGATGCATATATGGCCATACTTCACAGTCTGATGAATATTTGTATTTATTGGCGCTGCATGCTATTTTCCTGTTGTCTTTGTTCGGAGACAGTGACAGAAAGGAGTGACTACAGAGCCACGAGCCTTTGCATCAACTATAACCTGCTCACAATTTAACCTTGGCTGATATTTACCTTTCTTCTGACTCGTATTGTTAAAAGAAACGCGGAATGATGTCTCATTAATGGGCTCATTTTCCATTCTGTTAATGAAAACATGGCCAAATGAACACAGCGTTGCTCTGATTTGCACTGAGGAAACTCATTTGACTCAAGGTCGCGGCTCCATTGTGTCGCTCGTTAATAAGTGTGCAAGAAGAGCGTTAAAGATGCAACTGTTTCTCTGGGCTGAAGCCTTTTTCCAATCATTTATAGCATTAAGAAAAGAAAAAAACAGCCGCTAATTCACAGCTGAGCAAGTGTCGACTTTTAATTTAAAAAAAATGTTTTGCTCTTTTTATGTTTGATATAATATTGTTAATTTTCCATTTTTTATGGTTGGGTTTTGTCTTCTGTATAAGATTATTAGATAAAGTGCTCAAATGTCCTTCACTGAACTAAAATGCCTCGACTATCTCGGAAAAATAGCCCGAAACCAGTGAATGCACTCCAGAATTCAAGAAGCACCTTTGTGAGTAGGAGTGACACAAAATATAATCTTTATATCGATATGATATGATTTCTTTCATTGAACAAAGTTGTATAAACGGCTCTGAATAAAATGAATGCACATGCCAATTTAGACTAAAAAAAAGCACAAAACAATTTGACAAAACACAGACAGTCGCACAAAGACAACCTGCCTCCATCGTGCGCATAATGACCCTTCATTCAGACCTCTGAAAGGTCAACTTGCCCTCGCTGTGATTTTAATTATGCCCACCATTGTCAGGAACGTGAAGAAGACCCTGTTCCTTCTTTTTCACTCTCACAATAAGGCCCCCTGCTTCCTGTTTGAGGAAGTAACTTCTGTGAGAAGCTCCTAGTCTCTTATGTGAATTACTCTGCCCCTTAAAGAGTCAAAGTATGTGATGAGTCCGGTACACAACACCATCATAGAAAAGGAGGGGTCCTATTTTGTTCCTGAAAACAAAGCAGGGTTCAACAGGAAGCTGCTTTTTTTTAAACACTTTTTCCCCCTGACTTTTGCTTTAGTGGTTCAGCATCTTAAACTCATCAGGATCTTGCATGAATGACTATAAGAGCTTATCTTATACGGGGGTTGTAATCTTAAGAAGAATTACCGGAGTTCGGTTCATACATCTATGATTATTTCCCCCAGTTTGATTATTAAGTCTGTCAGGGATTTTCTGTGGGATAAAATCAACATTACACTCCATCAACTTTGCATTTTGTTGCACATTAGTCCGCAGACAATCCAGTAGAAAACACACACCATCTTTTCTCCCAATCAAGAAATAAATAAGGGGCTTAAAAATCCCTTATGGTACCTTGTAAGAAATTGTGAAAATTCAACTCAAGCCATTAACCCACTGGCGTCTATACCATTGACCTTTAAGTAACATTTACCATCTAGCGGCGGCTTGGCTGTCCCCCCCCCCCCACGCGAGATGCAGCCTTGATGGACAGCTGAACGTTATTTGTGCCCAGATCTGCGCCAGCAGAGTCCACACTGTCTGCAGGTTACCTCCTCTCTCAGGTGGATTCCGTGTTTAGAGAGTTCATGGCCTGCCCGGGGACCTTTGATTAATGACTATCGCGTCCGTTTCTGAAAAGCGCTTGGCTGTTTGTTTTGGAGGCGACGGGAGAGGTAGCCGTGGCCTGATTTGGTTCCCACGATGCTGTGTGGATGAGATCTGGAGACACTCAGCTGCTTGCTGCTTGAGTCCAAATACATACAATGATGGATAAAGGAGTGTGCATACATTAATCATGAGAATGACATGCAGACTCCTAGCGCAACTCTTTTCTGTGTAAAACAATAGGCTCTACTTCCTGAAATGCTATTGATTTAGAATTCTAAATCATAAACTGTTCATCTAATGAAAAGTTGGTTTTAATTGTCTAAGATTTAAAAGTCTTTGGCAGTTATTATGGATACTACACAAGTGTGGAGTCACGGGCCAATACTCACTCCCAATTTCTCTATTATTACTATACTATTTTTATTGTGATTTGGATTGTAAAAATCCAGACATTTTATTCATTTTAGGGGGGGGAATTGTTGAACATACACACGGCTCCTTTTCATTTCTGATGCGCTCTGGGAAAAGTAGTCCCTCTTATATTGTTGACTCGTAAGCAATAACACTCTGAATATCTCTGTGCTTCAGTGCTGACAATTCAAACAAATACTTATATAGAAGCCCTTTAAGCTTAGGTCAACACAACACTCTTTTTAAATTCAAGGACTTCAGAATACACTCCCTGCATACAAGGCGTTTATTTGTATTTATCACATGTATTGTCCTGTAGTGTTAAATGATTAGAACGCTAAGGGGGCAAAAAATCAGAAAGGCTCCTTTTCTACATGAACAAGAAGAGAAGAACAGGAAATATATATTTGTAGGACATATACAGCATGTATATTTAATGGTTTGTTTCCAAAGAAAACAACTTTTTCCTCAGTATTTTGTTTGTTTTGATGTGTAGAATTCAAAAGCCGATCGTGCAGAAGCAACAAATATCTCCTCAGAGCTTTTGTAAAGATTTCAGTAAAGAAACCTTGTGCATGTAGGAGAATGACATGCTGAATTTTTGCCCTGTTTAGTACGCTATTCAAGAAGACAAACATTAACACAAAAATACAAGCACAACCTCATAATACTTCTTGTCTGATTTGCTTTTACGATAAAGCATGAAACAGTCTTTTCATAATTAGGTGAATCAGACCTGGATTTCTCCATCCTGTCCATTCCAAGCACTGATGAGCACCATTAGTATACATGTAATTATGGCTAACCACAGTATTAACCCGCTGACAGAATTCATATGAGCTGCTCTGACATTAAATGCTAAAATACTTAGTAGCATCCTTTCCGAACAATAGAGAGAATAAGCACTCGTCTAAATGCGACTGAAGCTCAATGTTAAGTTTCATTTATTATCAAGCAAACAAAACTTCATCACTGGAATACATCAAACCACATGTTGCACTAAAACAAGCATGTTTTGTGCGGGGGGTGGGGGGGGGGGGGAGAGAGAGAAAATGTCCAGCGGTAATATGTTAATCAGCAATGAGAGACCTTTTAGTTGGTATGGTTGGCAACACAGATGCATGATGGGTAATTAACTGTTTGCAAACACAGCCTATGTGCACTCACTGTTTGCTGCTGTTACCTCGGTAGAGATGAAACGATGAGGGCGCTCGCAGAAAAGTGTGTGTGGGTGGGGGCGGGGGGGGGGGAATTTTGTAAAGAAGTTTGGTGCTCCGTTTTGGGATTTTGGAATTGTTTTATTTTAGTAGTTCTTTGTTTGACCAGGTATTTCTTCCTTTTGTTTTCTTTTACACACTGCATAGAAGACGAACATAGGTGCAAAAGAGAGTCAAAGCTAATCAAAATGACACAACTTTCAGAGAACATTGTGCTTTCCAAAACGACAAATAACAGATCCATTTAAGAAATGCTGTGATTTACAATGCATGTATTAGCTTTTTTTTAAGGTAGACTTTTATCTTTATACAGTACATGGACCTTAAGACCGCATACACGAGTGATCTTATTCAACTGCTTCTATAAAACGTTTCCTTCATTTATTTATTTTTTACATTTAAACAACACATCCTGCAAATTCAATACAACGTGCAAAGACATTCAGACGACTTAACATAGACGATAAGCACACACCCCTCTGTGGAAAAACTCTCATCACTCTGCTTAGCTAAACAAAACGTCTTGACTATTTCATTCACAACATTTAAGGAACCCATGTCTCCAGAATCATTTAAAACTATCTATAGCCAATAAAAGCATGCCTTATACAATACATATATGTAGCTGCATCCTTATGTTATGTATGTAAAGTAATGAACATTTCAAGATTAAGTTGAGTTATTCCATCATCACAATTTGTACCTGCCCTATAAAATAATATCATCATAACAGAATGAGTGTGAAATATTTGAACATAAAAGGCGAGACACATGTTGTGTATTTTTTTAACCGCCCAGGAATTACGATAAGTAGCACAAATAATAATCATACAGAACAATAAGAGAGCTGTGAGTAAAGAAACACAATGAGGTTTTGATATAGTATCATGTGTTATTGAAAGTGTAAAATGCTACAGAGACAGAACTATCCTTTGATGTTCTTGATTATTGCAGAGGTCACACTCAATCATTAGGGCAGCTGAAGACGGCAGAGATCGTCAGTCTTGTGATCACACACGCTGCTGATGCTCCCTCGGACTTCCTCCGCAGTCTGACACATGGATGTGTGTGGACGAGACAATCCCCTGCTGTACAGACACCACATCTGCATGAGGAGCAGAGGTGAGTGTGAAAAGCCCACGACGACAATATGAATAACAGCAACAAAAAAGCCCTGGCTATGCAGCCTATCATCATCTTATTAAAGGGTCCTGTAGATTAGAATCATCAGAGGCAGGTGTGCCCCCCCCCCCACTCCATGGCAGGCTTGATAACACGCTGCCAGAGCCCCCCTCCTGGTACACTCTCAGGTACCTGCTGAGGCGATCCAGGGAGAGGCCAGCTTGGAGCTCCTCTGCTTTGGTCTGGCCGGTGTGGGGCTCCGTTTTTGGAGTGGCCCTGATCGGCGGGGTGCCTCTTCCTCTTCCACCGGCAGAGAACCAGAGACGTCGATCCCCTTTTCCCCCCGTCACACTGCTGCCTGTTCTGCAGCCAGCTCACACGCACACACACTACACACACACACACACACACACACACACACACACACACACACACTGCTCTCACCTCATCCAGATAAAGCACATCAGTGATCATGCAGCGGAATAGTCTGCTTTCATGGTGCTGCCTGGTGTAGATGCATCTGTATGCAGCTTCACAAGCTTTTTACACTGTGCACATAATTCCTCATCACTGCTGCCTGACAAGAGCAGAAACAGATGAATTACTGTCATAATATTTGGTTTTATGCATCTAACCGCACGATGACATGAAACAATATTTTTTAATCAGCTATTCTGCGTCTCCGTTTGATCTTACACTGATTTATTTTGTGTGAAAGGAGCCAGCCGTGTTGCAACACAGTGTAAGTGTCACCTGCGTGTGTGTGTGTGTGTGTGTGTGTGTGTGTGTGTGTGTGTGTGTGTGTCAGCTCCGTTCACTCGTTGTTGTACATCTCATATTCATTGTTGATTTTGTGATTCCTGCATCAAATATCGTCTGTGATAGAAAGTGCATTTCCTGAGCTGATGAGATAAGGGGGACTGAATGAGGGGTGCTGAGCTCATCATGACAAATACACACACACACACACACACACGCACACACGCGCACACACACACACACACACACACACACACACACACTCATGCAGGTCTTCCCCCTTATTGCTTCTTTACATTTCAGATGGAAACGGCAGGCTTTTGTGTATTATTATTTTGTGTTCTTTTTTTTTAACTTAAAGGAAATGATTCACTATTTTGCATTTTCTCCTTTTCTAATATATTTTCTTCCTTTTTAATCTTTAGTAATTCATAAAGTAAACAGCCCTCTTAGAAATGCCTATTAACCTCTTATAATAACTGTTATTCACATAAAATTAACAAAGTAGGCAAAGAGCAAAAAAGGCTTTTTTTAGACATATACTTCAAGGGAATATCTTTTATTTAGCCTAAGTATTTTATTTTGGTTGAATTCTACATCTTAAAACTGTGATCACCTGCAGTGCACATTATGTTCTGTATGTCTTTGTTTAGGCGACCAGCATTTCTATAAGAAGCACAGAAATAGAGCATCCAAATCTGCATCAGTTATTTGTGTCCAGTCTGTCTGCTGAGGGAGAAGATAAAAAAAAATTAAAGAAAAAAAAAAAATTATAAAAGCAGTCTGTGCTGCCAGTGAGGAATTCAGGTTAGTCCCACAGGACATCACACCTGTCAAGAAAAAGCAGGATGCAATAACACCCTCCGTCCCAAAAAATAGATCTGAGGAAACATTATCTAATACAATGAAAAATAGATCTAAAGGAACTGACAAAGCAGATAAAATTGGAAAACAAGCTTGGAGTAAAATGCTTTTATTCTGCTTTGATTGGCCTCTGGTATTTAGTAAGCAAAAAAAAAAAAAAAGAAAGAAAGAAAAGTAGGTTATTGAGCCTTAATGTGAAGGATACGTTGAAATAAAAATACAAACTTTAATTTAAGCTGGAGTGTTCACTTAATTTGGCCCCAGTGTGACAGACTGGTGGAGTCAAAGAGCCTCAGGAAGTGCCTCCTTTTTTTTTTTTTTCTTTCCACCAGGAGACCGCCCATGTGTGTGTTTAATCCACATTTTCTAGCAACTTCCTATCTTCCTCCTATTTTACCATCACTGTCCTGCTCCCAAACTGCCTCTTTCCCTCCTCACATGCTTTTTCACCGCAGTCCTCCGCCTGCTCTCTCTCTCTCTCCCTGTCTCTCTCTCTCTCTCTCGCTCCCCCCCTCTCTCCCTTTTTTTTTTCCTCCTATTTATGAAAACGTCACTTCAAGTCCCTCCCTGTTTGAATCTCATTAGTTTCTTGTGTGTTTCTCCCTGTCAATAATCCTGAATCCAGACTCTCTCTATTTCCATCCCTCTCTATCTGTCAATCAGCGCCGCCTTTGAACTGAAAACCACTCCGACCAACTTCAACTCACTCAATCCGAGCGGCTCGGCTCCTTCTCCGGCTCCCTTTTTCTGCCAAGATTCCCTTCTTTTTTTGAGTTTTCTACCAACCGGCCAGAGCTTTGGAAAACGCCAATACAGAAACCCCCCAAACTTAACACTCGGACTTTCTAGATCCCCGAGATCAAGGGTTTAAAAACTTCGTGTTTTTTTGCCCCCCTTCTTCAACAAAACAAAAAAAAAAAGAAAATTTCTGCACGGGAAAAATGCCGCAACTCAACGGCGGTGGAGGGGACGATCTGGGTGCAAACGATGAAATGATTTCCTTCAAAGACGAAGGGGAGCAGGAAGAGAAAATTTCGGAGAACTCGTCGGCAGAAAGGGATTTAGCCGATGTCAAATCTTCTCTCGTAAACGAGTCGGAAACGAATCAAAACAGCTCGTCGGACTCAGAGGTAAGTTGCGCATAGAAAAAAAAGCGGGGGCATCGATCAGAGCTGTTTGTTTGTTTTGTTTTTGTTTTTTGTTTTTTAAAAAGTAAAGTTAAGAGGCCTTTTACATTTGTGACATGTTAACACTTGGAAAAAAGAAAAAGTTAACTGTCTCCCCCACATCGCCCGCTGTGTTAACTTTAACGCAATCCCTTGTGTTTCATTGCATTTCAAGGCGGAAAGACGGCCTCCGCCTAGATCTGAAACTTTCAGAGACAAAACAAGAGAAAGTTTAGAGGAGGGTGAGTTTCTGCTTTATTCTTCCTCTCTCTGTTTGATTTTTTTTTTCTTCCCTGCACCGTGACATTACATGTGCCCGGCGGAGGGATATCCCTTCCGCTTTAACTCCTCTCTAAATGCATAAAATGTGGAGGGGAAATAAATAAAACTTCTCAAGGCCACTTTATTAAAAAAAAGTTTTTCTTCTTTCCCCCCCCCCCCTCCCCCCCGCCATGTTAGCTGCGAAAAGGCAAGATGGAGGGCTGTTCAAGAGCCCACCGTACCCGGGCTATCCATTTATAATGATCCCCGATCTCACAAGCCCCTACCTTCCCAATGGATCACTTTCTCCAACAGCACGCACAGTAAGTTCATTTATTTACCACTGTATGTGCACACACACACACACACACACACACACACACACACACACACAGACACGGAGAGTTGTCACCCAGAAAGAGAAGCCGATAAAAAAAATGTAGAGCCAAGTTTTGCAACTGCTCATGAAGTGTACAGTACAATGGCATGCATGTCCGCCTGCAGCCTGTGTGTGTGTGTGTGTGTGTGTGTGTGTGTGTGTGTGAGTGTGTGTGTGTGTGTGTGTGCGGACGGCAGCTAACATGCTAACAGTGCTAAGCCCTAGGACTAGGAAAAATGATAGTTATATTTGAAAAAAAAATCTGAACGTGCATCTGAGTTTTTGAACTTTTATTTTCCATTCTTAAAACTTTCAAAATAAAATGCACAACATTTTCAAATGTAGTAATATCGTTGTAATTACTCTTATCGTAATTGTAACGTTAATTAACGTGCGGGTTCCTGCTGTATTCTGTGTTCTTTTAAAACCCACTGAATTATGCACTTGGCTCGTGTTTGCACAGCCTCATCAAACATGCCCTTTTTTTTTTTTTTTCTTCTTCTAACTCGAGCTGCATGAGCATTCAGACCTTCACACTGACTCCCTGACACGCTGCACGCCGTGCAAAGCAATGTAAAAACACACACAAATAAAATCAATATGCAAATGAGCTCGTCAAAGTGATTTGCATGTGTCAAAACGTGTAGAGGCATTAGGCTAAAGGTGCATGCATTAAAAAATAAAAATCTGTTTTTTTTTCCGTACACATTACCATTGCTTTTTTTTTTTTTTTAATTGATTAATTTAATTCAACAAATGTGAGTTATTGAGAGGTTATGATTGTGCAACACTTGTGTGCTCTGCATGTGCACCACATTTGTTTCTAATGAGGAAACCACTGCCCCCTTTTTTTTTTTTTTAATATAAAAAGGCATGTGCTTTGTAAACCCCGTATTTATAAATAAATTCATGTTATTTAGACACAATCAGCCGCGCTATAATTATGCACACTTACTCATTTGCTCAGCACCTCGCTAGTCCCACTGGGCAACGTGCAATCCTTAAGCGGAATAATTTTCTCAAACCACGGGTGTTTTTTTTTTTGTGCCCCCCTATTTTAAACGGTTGCAATTACAAGTCTGCACTTTAGGACCTGTCATCTCATTTTACAAGGCTAAGGCAAAGACCAGGCATTAGGAAATGTGACCCCCTCCACCCCACCACCACCTCCACCTCAGCTCTCAGTAACGAAACTGATATTTGTCACCTGAGTTTTTTTTGTTTCTTAAATAAACGCACACCTGACACATAATGCCTTGTTTTGTGTTTGACACAATTTTTGCTGATGAGTTCCACATGATCAGCCGGCGTTTCACCTCAAAATATTTTTTGCTGCTTACACAATTCTCTCGTTACTTGTTTGTGTGTGTGTGTGTGTTTGTGTTGTGTGTGTGTTTTTGTGTGTGTGTTTTTATGGCTGAACAGATTTGATCATTCCCAGCATATGCTCATATGAGAACATTTTGCCATTCTTTCCCTCTTAGTCAGCCGGCCTTGTTAACACTACTGGCTGCTATTTGGAATTAGTCACTCATTATTCTCATAAGCGCTGACACAAACACGCATTGACAACAACACACATGATTTGAGCTGAGGCACTTCCTTGTTTCGGAGGCAAGGGAGGTTTGTAGTTGTCTTTGTGGTTATCGCAGCGTTGTGTTCTGTTGCAGTCCGTGAAGCGCTCAGTTCATTGTGCTTATGCAGCAGGTAGGAAAAGCAGTCAATTTTGGAGCATGGCTGGAGGATGCTGCGGCGAGACCGTGTTGCCCTTTGCCCTTGTAGTTCCTCACCTGAAGAACAGTATGCAATAACTCACAAAAGCAAAGATCCTTCATAGAAAATACAACACAAATGTTCTTTTTTTTTTTTTTTTTTGATTTTACTGGACATTGATTTCTTGCAAACCAGATATAGAAGTCATGAAACAAATCTTACAAACACCTTATCATGTTTGGCCTCTTTAGCAAATTAGAAGACTACATTTATTGCACCTTAATTCACAGATCTACCTGAGCAGCGACTGTAGAGGAACACGGTTTTTTCGGCTCGCGGTGAGCCTCGGCCCCCACTGTCTGCAGCGCCCTGTGTGTCCAGCCATTAGAGCTTTGAAGTGAGCGGTCGCTGTAATATAAATGTATTAGACTTAAAGCTGGCATAAATAATTCACCTGGACATTGATTAGCTGTCCTGCTCCCTAACATGTCATGTGAGGCGCTGACTATGACTGCTGGTATAATTGCGATGAGTTCTTTTCTCTGTCTTTGAGCCCTTTGATTCTCGCTGCGTTCCCTTTTCTTCTTCGTCTGCTCCTCTTGGTTTGGGCGATGCTCTGCTTTTATTTTTAGGATTTCAGTTTAAAAAGTCGGGGGCCTTTGAATTTTGTATTTACATTTTTAGATGTTATTATTTAAATGAGATTTTTTTTATTTCTGTAAAGCACTAATATGAGCATTTTGTTAAAAAGATAAATTATAAGAATTTAGATTTTTCTGTCTGTCATTTGGCACTAATCCTGATCTATTTTGACGCTCTGCTTCCTTTCCTTAATTTCTGTTTTTAACATGCTTTGGAAAGGGAAAACAATCCTGCATGTGGTGGTTTACATAATTTGTTTGACCTCTGGGAGCTATAATCAGTGACAATTTGTTTTTCCTACCACCTTAGTCCAAGGAGACTCACAGTTTAGCATCATTTAGCAATTTGACATGATGTTGTGCCCGGGCTTTCAAAAGCCTTCCTCTCCTCCTCTCGTCCTCCTCCTGCTTCCTCTCCTCCTCCCTAAACCTCACACAAGGTTCCTGCTGGATCACTGGGTGGAGGTCCAATTGAAGAAGTGGCCTGCCCAGTTCACCCTTGCTTTTCCATCCTTTTCGCTCCCTCCTGCTTTCTCTATCTCCCTTTCCTCTCTGCGTCTACCTTTTGTTTCCTGCCGCTGCTTACACAGGTCTTGTGAAAAAAGGCGGCGGGTTAACTCCGGTGCTGTGGGCTAACATCACACCTCAACAGGTCTAAGAGACCGCAGAGGCTCAGGGAGGGAGAGCAGGATCTGGGCGGCCGGCTCTCCTGCATTGGGGGCTGCAGGGCCGTAAATCCACTGGCTTTATTTACTGCCTCTCGGACTTATGAATGTTAAGATATTTGACGCCACCCCTGGCCCCATAATTCTCCAAGCCTGGAGACTTTTGGCGGAGGTTTTGAGTTTCGACGTATAATTACAACTAGTTTAAAAAAGAGCTAGAAAGTAAGGGGGGGCAGTGTGTGTGTGGGGGGGGGGGAGGACACCGAGCATCAACTGCTGTGTTTAGAGCACACACAAAAAAAAAAAAAGACGCTCCCAGACCCGTGGCGATTCCACTACAAGACGGTGGAAAGGCTTTGTGTGGTTGAAACAATAGCTTTTCTCCCCTTTTTCCCCTCTTTGTTTCGCTTCCAGGATTGCTCATGTTGCCGCAGATTCACCTTTTGGAAGAAATAAATCCCCCTTCAATGTGGGCTGACTTCCTCCTCTCTGGTTCTTTATATTAGGGAGAAATAATGGAGGATTTTCTGCTCAGATTATTGTAATGAACATGCAGTAAGTGAATGCAACATTGCTGCCTTTGTGCTCACGTGCACACATTGCTCCGGCCTTATCTGTTATAATTGACACAGACAGACAGTATCTTCCCTTAACATGGCAGCAGCATAAGCATAACAATGGTATATCATATGGATTATGTGTGTTTGGCTGCTGTAAATGGATTTTTTGGCTGTGACAAGAGGAAAGATTTTAATGCGGATTTAAGGGATAGGGCCCACACCTTATCAAATTGGCTTTACATGTTAATAGGGCCTAATTGGTGTCCACAGGGGGTTTGGTGGCACGACGCGGCCACAATTTGTGCCCCTAGCCGCAAAATGCACTCTGAATTTAGTCGGAAGGTTGCGCTCCTTTTGTCTTGCAAATCACTTTTGTTTACAAAGTATGGCGGAAGCGGCTCCCGCTCTCGCTCTCCCTCCCACTACTCCTTTATGTGCTCCTTCTCTTCTCTCTCTCTCTCTCTCTCTCTCTCTCTCTCTCTCGCTCTCTGCTGCTCCTCTCATCCTATGCGAGGAGAGAGGGGAAAGAAAAGGTCCTTATTTTTCCTCGACTCAATAAACAGTCATAAAAAGCACAATCTGCTTTGGATTTGAGGAGTTAAGTTAGAGAAAGGGGAAGGAGGGTGGTGGGGGGGAGCAAAGTTTGGCACCATTAAACTAAAATTGGGGCCTGCTAGACATTAGCGGTGCGCAGCACATTCTCTGAGCTTAATTAGTCCAAACTGTAATTGTTCATGGTCTGCCAATAGGAGTAATGCTCAGGAAAAGTGGAGTTGCACTAAATCGGCCCGGGGTTTTTAAAACAATAAATCACTCGCATATTTGTGCTGTGATTCAGATGGAGGCTCGACCTCTCCCATCTCGACATGTGGTAAATTGTAAAGTCAATGAATCGCAGATGTAGGGGTGGTGGTGGTGGTGGTGGGGACTCAGAAAGAAGGGCAGAAGGAGTACAGTAAGGTTTTGTTGGTGCCTGGTGAATGAATGGAAAAGATTTGCGCTGTAAATATTTACCACGAAAGAAACAATATATATTCTCGTAGCTAGCAAGGCATAATTGTCTAATGCTGATGATGTTGGCAGGCTGAGCATTGTAAGAGCTCATCTATCTGTCACTCTGCTTGAAACATCACACAAGCGAAAAAAAAAACAAAACAAAACAAAAAAAACCTGTCAGTTTGTGAGTGTGTTTCTTATCAGATTTTTAACTAGTGCAAAGCCAGTAGTGGATCCCTGGTGGTGCTGCGAGCTGGGTTTGGGTGTAGCTTAAATTCAGCTGCAGTCAAGCTTGGTTTGGTGCGGAACCTTTTCTTAATTAAATCATTGACTTAATTGTTTTTAATGTAATAACAGCTAATCTGATGC